CCCACGCTGCACGGGGAGAACATGGAGACTCCACGCAGGAAGATCCCGGGTGTCCTCACCGGGACGCCAACCGGCGACCTCCTAGCTGTGAGGCGCTAACGATGCTAACGGTGCTAACGGTGCTAACGATGCTAACGGTGCTAACGGTGCTAACGATGCTAACGGTGCTAACGATGCTAACGATGCTAACGGTGCTAACCACTGATCCACCTGCAGCCCTTGATTTTGGTCAGTTTATACAATAAATAATACTGTGTGGTCTTAACTTTGATATTTAAATTAGTCCAATAAATTTGTCTAAAAACTAACAATGTACGGTCTAAACTTTTATTTTTTTCATTGTTTGGGTTGGTTTGTGTAATAAATACTGCTGCAGGGTGTTGAGCTTCATGTCTAAAGTTGTCAGTAAATTTGTGCAATAAATATTGTAGGGTCTTAACTTTTATGTTTAAATCATGTCGGTTCATTTATATAACAAATAACAAGCATGAATGTTGATATTTATTTAGGTTAATTCATATAATAAATAATATTGTAGTGTCCTGACTTGTAACCTATTTAAACATGTCAGATATGTTTATTTTGCAAATAATAATGTGGGGTCTTCATTTTTATATTATATTTATTTAGGTACATTTGTCAAATAAACAATATTATAAGCTCTAACTTTTATATTTAAATTTTCTGGGTAAGTTTAAATAATAAATATTATAGCAGAGTGTTGAGCTTCATATTGAAAGTTGTCAGTAAATGTGTGTAATTAATAATATTGTAGAGTCTCGTCTTTAAAAACTAAAGTTAAATTTTCACGTCCAGTCTTGTTTCTCTGTTCTGAAGCACTTTGGTTGTTTGAGTGTCTGAATGTTGGTGACTGGACTAGTTCTCTGATCCGCCTGCACCTTTAACCTGGAAGCTTCTGGTTCTGGTGTCCACGACTTCCTCATCAGGTTCCCACCTGAGCTCCACTCACCTGACACAGCCAGAGACAGCCGGCGGCTCTCAGACGAGAAGTTGTGGGAAAACACGTGGACGTGATAAACGCAGCTGTAGCTGCCTTGGTGGGTGTGGTCTGCAGCAGGAAACAGGAAGCGGGCAGAGTGATTGACAGCTGGCTGGGTGTGGTTGATCGTGGTGCTGGAGGAGGTGAAGGTGAGCTGGAAGGAGCCTCCTCGGTACTGAGGCTGGATGGAGCAGCTGAGGGCGAAGCTGGAGCGCCAGGACACCCGAAACCCCTGCTGCTGGGCCTTGGAGACCCTGTCCACGGTCGACACAGTGATGATTGGCTGAACCAGCAGGTCTGTAAACAGAGACGTGATTGGCTCAACCTGCAGCCAGTCAGCCAGTCTTACTCCACCATTATTACCATGAGCTAACTAGTAACTACAGGTAGGAGTGTAACTGGTGCCTTTAGCTACTCTGTGGATGAAGATTTTGGGAGAGTTTGTCATAACGAGGTGCAGTCATAACGAGCGCTGCGTCAGAATGCTCTGACTGTGTGAGAGCTGATGTTATCACTCAGTCATGATGCTGGAGAAGGCGTGCACAGGCCTCGTGTTGCATTGCAGCTGTTTTGTGTTGTTCAAAGCAGAGCCGAGGTTGTAAACATGCAGACCGAAGCTGTTTCCGGTGGCGGCGTGACGGGCAGCTGCTGCTCCGTGAAAGCTGCAGACTGTAAATGGAAACAGTGGCTGAAGAAGAAACACTGACCTGAGCAGACAAGCTCCACGATGGAGGAGGACATGGACAACGTGGAGCACTCCCTCAGCCTCCATCCAGCCTCCACACAGTCACTGTTGACGCTCCACACTGGACACTCTGAGGACTCACTGTGGCTCCGTGTTAAAACAGCAGAACCACAGTTCATCTCTCTGCAGGCGGCAGCTGCTGCCTTCGGGCTCCAGTCAGAGGCGTCCACCATCTTCCACTCTGCCAGCTTCACCTGTAGAGCACCTGCACAGCGACTGGCTCCTCCCACCAACCTGACAGGTTCTGAACACAAACCACAGAGGGATCAGTAACACGACAGAGAGAGGTCAGATCAGAGCTGCAGCTCCTCTTCTACCTGAGCAGGTGAGTCCAGCTGCTCTGCCAGGTGAGCTGGTGTTTCCTGCTGAGGCGGAGCTTGTACAGTCCATCAGAGCAGCCTCCTGGCCTCCACACTGGAACTCTTTAGTCCACCATGGAGCCTCCACTCCTCCATAGAGCGCCCTCCAGAGGACTGAAGGAGCTCCACAGCCGAGCTCCCTGCAGACCACCGCTGCATCCTGCAGGTCAAAGTCAGCCTCACACACCGAGGACCACCTCTGGTTGGACTGGTTACACTGGTTACACTGGTCAAACTGGTCAAACTTGACCTCCAGTCTGCCTGAACACAGACTGGTTCCATTCACGAGCCTCACATACTCTGAAACGACAGACGAAACATTCAAATGTATTCCAAGCAGCTGGTTGGAGGATTTAAAATGTCTTCCTTTGGCACCCCCTTGTGGCACCATCAAGAATGACATTCATGAAGGACAACAGCCTCAAACAGAGGTGAATCTGACGCACTCAGTGTTTCTGCTAATTTGACCAATGAAGAGAAACTGTTGTTGTTCCAACATCAGGACCCAAACAGCTCTCAGATGATGTGTTTGATTCTTTAGACTTTGGTTCCTTCGTGCAGCGTTTGTGTCGTGTCTGTCCTGTTTAAACCTGATCACACCAGAGACAGCTTCATTCGCTTGGTAAACACAGATACATGTTCTCATGCAGCACAGTCGTCGTTTTAAGACTCCTTGTTGTGTAGCTGTGAGAATCCAGACTGTTCCTGCTGTTTAACAGTTGTGATATCTCGTGGGTGAGTGTGGTGCTAACATGAGTCACTGAGTGCTGATGATGGTCTACCTCGCCTCGTAGCGCTGTGACAGAGCCGCTTGGTAAAACTGTCGACAATGTTCAGGAGAGAACTGAAGTCTCGGACAGTGTACAGGAGATCAACATCAGAGGCCATCATCAACAGCTGGAGGTCTGAGAAATCCCCGATACCTGAAAGGCAATGCTGAGGTAACAGTGTGCTGCAAAAACAAAGAGAATAGTTTGGTTGAGATAAAACTGCAGTTTCCTGCTGCTTGCAGTGCAGCCGTTGGTTTCAGCTCAGTTTAATGTCAAAACCAACCTGCAAAGATCTGAAACAAGCCTCATTAGATGTTTAAAACATTAACTGGCAAAGCTAACATGTTCACTGAGTTCTGTTGTTTCACAGTTTTGGTGTCAAACTTTCAGAACTTTACAGATTCTTTGCTGCTTCCTCACTGTTCAAACTGAATCAGTCAGTCAGTCACCTATAACGAAGACCTCGATGCCGGAGTCTCTCAGGTGCTCAGCAGGCAGCTCTACGTCATCCAGGGAGCCTCCATCAGTGAAAACAACAAGAATTTTTTTGGAGTCTGGACGCATTTCCACGCTGTGTCTAAAGCTGTCGCGAAAGACGTGATCCAGAGCCAATCCTGAGTGACGGCAAGAAGGACGCATCAAAATGTGAAGGAAAGTTCAGGGACTTGTTGTTTCATAAGTACAGCCGTGGATAAAAGGTTCCATCCACTCATACAGACCATGTTTATCCTTCAGTCTTGAGTTCCCCAAGACTCCTATGAACTCTGAATGTTCTCCGATGGGATCATTGAAACACACGAATCTTTGTCAGTAAAACAATCATATATTTTGGTTCTTTCAAAGATTTATTAACGGTTTCTGGAAATATGACAAAATCTGCTGGATCATGGCCGATTGACTGTACCTGAGTGGTTCTGATTGACTCAAGCTGCTGACTCCTCTGATCCAGCTTAAA